GATGATAAACAAGACACCACATCAGGTGCTGCAAAATCCCAGTATGAGTTGGATAGAAAAGGAAATCACTGTGCTTGGTTTAGGAGCCCATACTCATTTTTCTTTCCACACTGCTTCAGGACCTTGTTCATTTCCTACTTTATTTTCTTCAAGCTACAGTCTCATTCACGCTATGCTTGATATTCCTCCACAACACTGCAGGAGTGCATATGAGACAGCAGCACAGAAAGCTGGCATGGAGGGAGTGTTGCAACAGAGGCAAAGTGCCACTGCTGACCTTCCTTGCACTGAGGAGACAGCAAGGGAACACATATGGCAGGAGGGAAGTCCACCCAGGAAAAAACCCTGAACATTCTTGACTTGTTAATGTGGGACGGTCATATAAACTTCCTTGGGTATATCCGCAACTAAGGATGAGAACACAGTGAGACTCAAGACTATTGTCATTGTATTTAAGGGACACAAGGAAGATCCCAGAATGGTCCTTCTTTTAACACTTTCCATACACTTAACATAGTTAGGCTCCAGAAAAGCACAACGCCCACCATTCCCTCTATCTTTATAGGTAATGTACTTTGTTTCAACTGAATTAATTCCATAAATACCAGGGTTTTCATGGTTTTCCAAAGACCTCAGGTTGCATAAATAGAAACTGGGAAAAAAAAATAAAAAAACTAAAGTACCAGCAGGTGATGTAGTGGTTCCACATGGTCGACCACAGTTCAATGGACCCAGTGGCTCACGGCTCACCTTCTCTCTCTCTCTCTCTCTCTCTCTCTCTCTCTCTCTCTCTTTGCACATGCCCTATAGCAAAATGAAAATAATAATAAAATTGAATTAAATAATTCTTTATAAAACTACAGAAATACAAGAGATCCTCAAAAATTTCAAAACTATGCATGGATTTCAAAATATTTTGTCACCAAAATAAACTCAAACTTTAATACCGTTTGTCCAAGAACTTTATTTTTTTTTATTTTTTTTTATTTTTTTGGAGAGGTTTTTGCTATAGGGCATGTGTACTTGCCAGAAAGACAGAGAGAGGCAGAGAGACAGAAAGCAAGAAATCACCCCCCGGGGGGGATGGCCACACCGCAATCCCTTCTCCTCCATTCTCCTCTCGGGATTTTGGGCACGCACGCACATGCACCCAGTGTGAGTTCAAGCCACCGAGTCCAAGACTCGAACCGCAGTCGACTACATGGGAGTCCAGCGACATAGCCATTACGCTAACTGCTTGTCCCTCCAAGAACTTTTTGAAGTCTCTTCCTAGATTCTTCAGTGTGGGACATTATGAGGCATATGACATATATTTTCCTTTTCCCTTCCAGATTCACTCTTCACCCTTCACAATTTCAATTTGCACCTCTGGGAATACCCTTAACCTGGATTTTCATTGTTTTTAACCAATGGAGGATCCAGAAGATCAGAAGGTGGGAGGAAAGTGGTGTCAGGATATTTATTGTCTCTGCTCTCTTCCTGCAAGATCACTTCATGATGACTGTATCCCTCAACTAGCCAGAAGCCACTCTCAAGTCAATGTCCCCTACATGTTCTCTTTACTTGTCCCTTCAGTATTTTTTAGCCCTTCACTGTTTTTAATGCTGGAATCCTACAGTATCCTTTGTGGTTCACTAACCTTGTGCAAGACTTTGCAAGTAGTCCCTTTATAAATACACTTTCCTCAAAATATTCTAATTTAGGCAAGCCAACTATTCCACGTGGGAACTCTGGCTGATACAGGGAATGGTCAGAATCGGACAATGGTAGCTGCTGTTCAACTCAAGGTAAATAAATGTGAGAGAGGAAAAGGTGCCTGTGTCTCAACAGTCTGGCAAAAAAACCTGGAGGATGACAAAAAGAAAGATCCAAGAACCGTTCTTGGATGAATAGAACAAAAACAGAGGAAAAATAAATGTAGAGAAAAACAAGCTCTCAAAGTTGTCCTGAAATTGGATTGACATTTAAAGAAACAGAGACTTTCTCATAAAACTAAAATAATGATCAGATTCAGAATTTCCTACCTGGGATTGTTTCCCATATATGTAAATAGTTCTTCAGAAAACCACATACAGTGAAACCCCTTTCAAATAGTGCTGTGAGCTATTTGAAAATGCTTAGTATGGTTTTATCACCTGGTATTAGTCACCATTTTCTTTTCATTTTTCCCATACACTTTACACTTAACATGGTTAGTCCCCAGAAAAGCACAGCACCCACAATTCCCTCTATCTTTCTAGATAATGTGTTTTGTCTTGATTCGATTGATTCTAAAAATTCCAGGGCCTTCAAGGTTTTCCAAAGATCCTCATGTTGCATAAATAGAAACTGGCAAAAATACATGTATCCCTGAACTTTCATGCTTCCTTTTAATCAAGGTAGTCCCTGGTCCCTGTTGATGATTTCAGGCCACATGAGGAGACTGTTCCACCAAAAGCCCATTAAGTCTAGGCTGTGCCTTTTGTATGTATGTATCTGTGTAGAAACAAAAATTATGTAGAGTAATTAATAAGTATCAGAGGTTCCCAGTGAGTTTCAAAGCCACTGTGAAAATACATGTATCCTAAAAGCTAAATGTCTGAATGTAAGCTTTTATCTCATCAGTCTGCACTGTAAATTGGATATTCAGGGTTAGCCTTAGATGTGAGAGTTTCTGGGAGTTTTAGTTTTCTGCCATGAAAATCAGTTTCATGTTAACAGTTTAACCTGGTTGTGAAATTTCCAGGTACCCAGAGCTAGCCAATGGGACCTGAGAGGATAAAGAAAGTAGCTGTTTTACCAGAAGTTTAAAAAGGAACTTTGAAAATGATAATACTAAAACAAAAAACAAAGCAGTTTTCTGTTGCAAAGCAACTCTAATCAGTGCACAGAGGGCTTATTTTCCCTCCTAAAACAAATCAGTCAGATAATTTATATTTCCTCATGTTTTGCTTTTATTCCGTGAGCTCAGAAAATACCCTAAATGGATTCTTCCCAACACCTCAAAAAAAAAAAAAAAGTCCAGGGAACCAGCAGTTAGCGTAATGGCTATGTCACTGGACTCCCACGTAGTCGACCGTGGTTCGCATCCCGGACCCGGTGGCTTAGAACTCACGCCAGGCACGTGTGCGTGCATGCCCAAGATCCTGAGAGGAGAATGGAGGAGAAGGGATTGTGGCGTGACCATCCCCCCTGGGGGTGATTTCTCGCTTTCTGTCTCTATGTCTCTGTCTGTCTGGCGAGCGCACGCGCCCTATAGTGAAAAAAACTCTCAAAAAAAAAATCCAAACTGCTATAATAAGTAATCCAGGGCTATCCATTTTCAGATGACTAATGATCATCACGTAAGGTCACAAGTGATCCCAGACCAACACAGAGAACCTAGAATGCTGTTAGGGATTACTGCAGCATTGTGAATTAAATTAGATGTGAATTCAAGTTACTTGTACAACAAGCATGTTCATTCCTTGAATCCTTCTCTTCTGGTGATGTAAATTTATAGGATTAGAGCCAGCAAAATAATAGAATTTTCAGTTCTTCTCTACTGCAGCTTCAACATATTCTGCTTGTCTCTGTATTTCATTTATATTATTTTAACAAGCATACACAGAGTTCAATTTTAGCTGCAGAATAACCACTGTACCATTCAAGAGGCTATGTACATGAACCAGTAATAAAGGCACCCAAAGGGTCAGTATTGCGGTACTAGATTTATTTGGGGGAAGGGTTGCTTGGCGGAGGTGGGGGTTGTTGTTGTTGGGAGGGCTGTTGCATGAGAAGATCTTCCCTTTGCTTAGCTCTTCCTCCTTAGAGTGCTTCCTGAACCCCTTGTCCTTCTCCCACCAGGTTACCTTGGCACTCATTGAACAGATGGATCTTCCTTGGCAGTATTCAGTACTGTATTCATCCATGGTGGCTGCATGGATAACTAAGTTATGGCCAACTAATCACACAAATCTCAACTTTATTTCATGTGAAACATTTCTAAATATTTTTAAAAAGTATTGAATCATGCATTTTTTCCCTCTCTCATCTGGAAAGCATTTTTTTCAAAATAACAGATTTGTCATTGAAATATCCTTAAGATAATTTCAAAGTTGTCAAGATAACAGTAATCTCAAAACTCATTGGAAGTCCCACATGAGAAAAAAAATTTTTTTTAATTTTATTTATCATTTTTTTAACTTGCTACAGTGCATGTGCACTCACCAGAGAGAGAGAGCAAGAGTGTGTGGGGGGAGGGGGGCAGGAGGGAGTGAGAAAGCAAGCCACCAGGTCTAGGACTCAAAACACAGTCAGCCATGTAGTAGTCCAGCACCATAACCACCAGCACCTGCTGACCCCAATGAGAAAAAAGTTTAAGGCCTCCTTTCTGTTAACTATAGAACAATATGAATTTTTATGTCAGCATGACATTGAAAGTTTTCTAATATTTCTAATATTAGATTTCTAAATCATATAAAACTATATTTTAATGTGATCCCAATTTTATGTTTTTAATTGTGATTGTTATATGTACCCTTTTATGTAAAGAAATATGATGAAATGCTAACATTGATTACCTTTGGATGATGGAATGATCAGTGATGATGTTTATTTACTTTTTCTTCTTTTCTGAATTTTCCAAACTTTCTACAGTAAGCAGGTAGGCATTCATTATTTTTAGAGAGAGAGCGATTTTTGCTATAAAATGCATGCACATGCCAGAGAGACAAAGAGACAGAAAGCAAGAAATCACCCCCCAGGGTGGATAGCCACGCACAATCCCTTCTCCTTCGTTGTCTTAGCAGGATCTTGGGCATGCACACACACACACATCCAGCATGAGTTTTAAGCTGCTGGGTCCGGGACCTGAACCGTGGTGGACTATGTGGGAGTCCAGCGATGAAACCATTATGCCATCTACTGGTCCCCAGCATTCATCTTAGTTAGAAAAAGGCATAGCTTTTTAAAAATTGAATGTTTTACTTTTTATATTAAATCAAGTTTACTTGTAGAAATAGGCAAGAAAACCAACATACCTTTTGATTAAATGGGCTCGGCTATTCACGTAGTTGGAGTCAAAAGAATAGTTCTCAGTCTGCAACGAAAGACCAAGATTTTAAAAGTTACATAGGTTATTTATAAGAAGAGTAGAAATACCCTGCTTAGGAAGAATTTTTCTACTGGACAAGAAAGTAATCAGAAACCAAGGCCATAGTGGGGCAGCAGTGTGAAGAATGTCCCCATCCCATTGGTGTCCTGAGAGTTGTATAGAAGCAGTAACTCACCCCTGCAAACCAGCATAGATCTGACACAGGCATTCCCTAGAATATGGCTGGCTACTGACCATACAACCACTTAAGGAGAAAAGAGGACATGGCCCACAATCATTACAGAAACTAATTTCTTCTCACTCCCTGATGGAGACAATTCTATGCACATCAAATTGACTGGAAGTTCAAAGGTATTTTTATTAGTAGTAGAGAATTAACATGTTAAAATATTTATTCCAAAGATATGGAAATACAGGCAAGGTAATCCCCCACTGTGGATTTAAACTCTGCACTTACCTTTGTTTTAAGACATTTGCTCAGCACTGGTTATGCAGGAAGGTCTTTGTTTTATCACAGATATAAAGGCAAACAAGTATTATGCCTAAAAGAGGGTGAAGGGCAGTCCACAGGGGGTGCCAAAGCCTTTCATGTGCAACACGAAGTTTGCAAACAAACTCCTGTCTCAGCTCCTATCATTAAAACACCACTGTCTAATCTAGTTACAGCAGACTGCTGGAGCAAAGGCTTTATGAAAGCAAATGCAGAATATCTGCCAGATGAAAGAGATGGAAAAACAGTTTATGAACACTCAGAGGTTGGGGGGATTGAGGGGAGGGCCGCCTTAGAAGGGGTGCAACCCAGCAAAATGATGACACTGAAGTAACTGAACATCCTAGTAAAGTGGATCTTACCCTCAACACCAAAGTACTACCCCTTTTTTCTAATGGCTCATCCTAATTTATGTTAAAATGTACAGCTTTTTTTTGTATGTTTTTACTTTTTTAAGTGACTGACTAAAAAGAGAACAAATAAACACGAGTGTCATGCTCTTTTTGAGCCATTGTGTGAATCGAATAATACCTAAATATATTTCTTTCACCCTCCTGCCATTCCACCGGAAATCCCTGCCATTCCCACCATCATTCCTTAGGGGTCTTCAGAAGGCACTTCAACTGAGAATGACTAGAAAAGGAAACCAAATAGCTGCCTAGTAAACAAAATAATAAGATTTCTTCCAGAAAACTACCTGTCAGACATTAACTGAGCTAGGCTCTTAGATGCATTCCTTGCTTTCAAGAAGTTCACAGTTTGATGGAAGAGAAAACGGGATAGGTAATAGCAGATCCAGCTACCACAAAGGCACCAAATAGCTAGCAGTCAGGGTAGGAACTGTAAGTACCTAAGTATCTAGAGTGGGTAATAAACGGTAGTGATGAAGAGGTAGAAGACAGAATATCAAGAAGCAAACAGGTCCAGCCAGATGGCATGGTTGTTAAGGTGACTATATTCCACATGGTCGACTGTACAATGCAAGTCCTGGACTTGGCAGCTTAGAAAATATATTGAGCATGTGTGCATGCATGATCAAGCCCCAAGAAGAGAATGGAGAAGGGATTGCAGCATAGCCATCCCCCTTGGAGGGTTATTTCTCACTTTAATTCTCTCTCTGGTGAGTACATGTGCCCTATAGCAAAAGAAAGAAAGAAAGAAAGAAAGAAAGAAAGAAAGAAAGAAAGAAAGAAAGAAAGAAAGAAAGAAAGAAAGAAAGAGAGAAA